CTCTCTCTCTCTCTCTCTCTCTCTCTCTCTCTCTCTCTCTCTCTCTCTCTCTCTCTGTGTGTGTGTGTGTGCCCTCTCTCTCTCTCTCTCTCACACATGGCTGAAAGGATTACCTGAGCAGAGAGGTAGAAGGGTAGTCGCGACTGTGTGTCGCATGCCATGGACAGGACGTGTATTCTGTGAAAGTAAAGCCTCGCACGTGTTGTCCAATATTGCAAGTGTCTCTCCCTCTCTCTCTCTCTCTCTCTCTCTCTCTCTCTCTCTCTCTCTCTCTCTCTCTCTCTCTCTCTTGTGCCCCCCTCCCCCCAATCTATCGATGTATATATATCCCTCTCACCCAGACTCACACTTCTTTTCCTCCGCTCCCTCCATCGTTTTCCCCTCCCTCTTTACTCTCACCCAGACACGTACTCCCTTCCCTACCCTTCCCTTCCCTTCCCTTCCATCCGTTCTCTCTCTCTCTCTCTCTCTCTCTCTCTCTCTCTCTCTCTCTCTCTCTCTCTCTCTCTCTCTCTCTCTCCTTGCCGCCTCCGGCCCGTCTTTATTTCAATGTTTCTCCAACTCTCACTTCTATCTCGCTCTCCTCCCCTTTCTCTCGCGCGCCCCTCTCCCTCCATATCCTGCCCCCATTACCCCTCCATATCCTGCCACGACTCTCCTTCCATATCCTGCACCCCCCCCGGCCCTTTCACGCGCACACAAGCGCATACAGTCCGACATCCTCTCCCTCCGTCTGTCCTCTCACCCCCCTTCCCGCTCGTCCCATGGCACTGTCACTAATGAAGGCGTTTTGTTTCTCCTCCCCCTTCCCGCTCGCCCTTTCCCCTCGTCCTCTCGCCGCTTCTGAATCCGCCTCTCTCTCTCCCCCCAATCTTTCTTGTAGGCTTCTCCCTCCTGGCGTGCCCCACCACTCTCGTGCAGGCGCCACGGCTTCTCCGTCGATCTCTCTTTTTCCCATTTTCGCAAGCTAAGGCCATATAGCTCCAACTCTTGTCCTCCTCTTTTGCCCTCTTTTGGCCCTCTGACCCCTCTCACTCCCACCTCCCCCGCGCCTAGCCAGCCTGTCATTCCTGAAGACGTTTTCTTTCCCCTGCGCCCCCCCCCCCCCCCCCCCCCCCTCTCTCTCTCTCTCTCTCTCTCTCTCTCTCTCTCTCTCTCTCTCTCTCTCTCTCTCTCTCTCTCTCTCTCTCTCTCTCTCTGTGTGTGTGTGTGTGTCTGTGACATCTTCCCATCTGTGTCTGTGACATCTTCCAATGTGTCTTGTAGCATCACAATTATCTTTGCGCGGAAACATACCCTGTCGCATGCAACCACACCAACGAACAGTGCCTGCCCGAAGGCAACAGTGTTGAGGCCTCGGCGGGGACCGCGATCCAGACGCCATGAGCGGGCGTGGAATCAAGTCTTTCACACAACTTTCAGTCGGTTGCGCCCACGCTCCTACCCTTCTGCATCTCTGCTGCTGAGAAACGCAATGCATCTAGGAACTCCACAATATTCGATCGGTATCATTGATGGGCACCAGGAATGCAACGGTCCTGATCGGGCATCCCCACAGTGTTTCTGCACATACCCTCACTCGAAATTCGTTAAGCCGCCTGCCCCCGTCGGCACATACCTCACTGACCGTCTTGGTGAGACCTGTCCCAGAAAATATGAGCCCCTGAGGGGACGCAGACAACTGCCACATGAGGCGCTTCCTTGTGCGGCCATATACAGGGTGGGAGGTTACGCTTGTGGCGTCTTTCCCTCCAACCCGACGATTACCGGTCGTTCCAACACTGACAGGCAACGCCCGGTAGCTCTCAAGCACATGCCCACCCTGCTCTCACTGATGGGCACTTGTGGCCACTTGTGGCAGAATAGGCAACCTGTCCAGAAGAAAGGTATTCATGGGATGATGGGTAAAAACCGCCATCCAATCCTAGACGACTTATTGACCACGTGCTGCAAGCCACGGTAGCCACGGTAGTCTTTGGCTATGAACATGGGATCACGTGCTTGCTCGATGGCCGTCGTTTATCGACACCGTAGAGGGGCTCACAATCGTTTCACCTGTGAAAAATCACCCGCAAAGGTAAAAACACCTTAGGCAGTGCCGCTCTTGGGTTCCCTGCTTAATCTTTGCAATCCACTTTCCTCCTTAAGTAAGTCGCCTTTAGAGAAGCGCGCCAAATCCCAGTAGTCGGCACCGCCGCGCTCCATTGCTAAATCTCTGGCAGTGCACGGTCCGTGTGTTCGTTGAGTGTTCCCTTCCTTCCCCATCTTGGGCTTCCCTGCTTAATCATTGCAATCCACTTTCCCTCCACGGTCCGTGTGTTCGTTGAGTGCTCCCTTCCTTCCCGCTTGTCCTGATTGCTTATCGCCCTGATTGTGATGTATGTTCGACCGTCGATCCTGACGATAATATGTAGCAAACCACTTTGCCACAGGCTGCCACGTGGCAGCGCGCCATTGTCAATCGCGGCAAGTGATACCAAGGCACCGTGGAAAAAAAAACGACCTGCCAGGGAAACAAACAAGCTTTTCCTTTGCCCTGCAACCTCCTGGCTGCGGCACGTGAAGTTGCCGTGGCGGAACTCGCTGCGCTCTTCCATTTTTTATTTTATTTTATTTTATTTCTTTTCAAGTTCGCTCTTATCGCGAATCCCAGGGAACATGCGCGTGTAGCAGGCAACGGCCCTGCTCCGTCGACAAGCCAATCAGTCCGGGAAAGGTAGGTACAGTAGATGTACAGAACAGAAAAGGGCCAAGAAGGACAGAAAACAAGCATATAGATTGGGGGGGTTGGGAGGGGGGGGGGGGGGGAAATGAGGGAAAGAAAGGATAAGGATAAGGATACTGAAAGTCCCTTCCCCGATCTTCTTGTCCACCTCGAACCTGCCATCAATCACAGCATTTTTTCTTAGCAACGGCGGCCGCACCATCTTGTCTTGTCCCCCCCCAACACCACCACCACCACCACCTCCACTCCCGCCTCCTGCACCTCCTCCACCGCCGCAAAATCCCTCAACCATGTCCGAATCGCCTTCTGCGCCGCTGGCAGGCATGGATACAATTTCTGCGTCGTCGACTAAGTATAAACGTCACTGACGCTACTCCCTCTTGCGTCTAAGTAGCACTCCCTCTTCCTTATACTTTCTCTCCTCCCTCTTTCCCTCTTGCCTACTACTCGTCCGACCGCCTCCGCCACCGCCGCCGCCCGTGTTGCGGCTTTTGCTCCTGCTCCGGCCGACGCTTGCGCTCCTGCGCCCGCCGCTGTCCACACTGCTGGACCCGTCAACCCTCCCGTTTCAGTTTCGGCTGTTCCCGCTCCCGCTCCTATCTTCTTCGGCTTCCCGCGCCCGCCTGACTTTTGTCCTCTTCTTACGAGACTGCTGCAACAGGAATCCATCGCTCGCACACACAGCAACTACCACCCTGCGCTCATCTGCCCGACGACCCGCCGAGCAAGACACTTCGCGCACTCTCCCCGCCAATCGTTGCCAACCCTGCCGTGTGCGCAACAACCGCGCGTGCACCCGCGTGCCCCGCCTCCGCCTGCGCCCACTGTCACCCCCTCTTTTGCCCCGATACCTCCTCCTCTCGCCATCTGTTCGCGACCCCCCATCGATGACCACTAGCCGTGGAAAGTGGCGCTGCAATATGTATGCATCACCGGCTTGCTAATGCTACTACGCTATGATGATCGGTCCGCCGTGGCGGGAAAGGCAACGACTCCGGCCCACTTCACCTGCTCCCTCCCCTCTCTCCACTCTCTCCACTCTATTCCATTTCATTTCACTCTCCCGCTTCCTTCGTCGGAGCCAGAAAAAAAAGTCTTCCCGTGTTGCTCTTCGTGGGACCTCCGCGTTGGCTGCACCAACCCCGCCCTCATGGGACGTTCGTATTGGCTGCACCAACCCCGCCGCTGATGCTCATCGCCTCGTTTTCGCCCTTCGACTTGCCCCCAATTGTGGGCCCCCTCCCAACTACCGCCGTCCGTAGCCATACCACCCCTCCTCGCCCCGTCAGCGAATCCCCGAAATTGGTTCCATCGACTGCACGGCACAGCCAGGCACACAACTGACCAGCTATACCGATGGTTTCATTTCATATACCCTACCCCTACCCCCTACCCCGTACCCACTCCCCCATCCCCGTTCCCTCTCCACATCGTCCTACTATACAGGAGGCAGGCAACGACCGCCGGTGCAGCTGTTGACATCAGTCCGGTACTTCGCGGGAAGTACACACAGGAACAGTACAGGACAAACAACTCGCATGATAGGAATCTGGATGGCAACGCGGAATAAGGGCAAACTCACACGATGAATTGTACAAGTCTGTGGACGTGTTCACGATCCGGTGCATTCGCGCGTGACCGTAAAAGCGGACACATACGCACTGGAAAGACCTCGTGTAAGGCCGCCACTTTTTATTTATTTCTGGGCGTGATCATGAGGGGAGGGGCCGTAAATACCGTCACAGACATTTGAGATAGAGCTACCGTAGTGTGAGTACGCCCTGAGTACGACCTCGTTGGATTTCCCTTCCCCCCCAACTTTTCTCTTACCTAATGCGTCGGATTTACAGGGCAGGACCGCAAGAGAATGCTCTCCACCGTCACACGACGCGAAGATCGGCGGCTGAAAACAGAAAAACGAGGAATTCGGGAGCGTGGGAACTTGCCACGCCCCCCACAGCATCTGCTCTCTGGCTCTGGATCCGAACGAAGACCCTTTTTTCTTTCTTCGGATTCGGAACTCCCTGCCTGAAGGCTGTTGGATAGGGGTTCGCTCGCGAGCGGAGGCTGCCGTCTAAGCTCACAGTTGTTTGTTGCGGTCTTGGGGCGGCTATTGCTGTCGCTTTGCGGCCTGTTCTCCGACGTGTTTCCCAATGAGGCCCCGAGCAAGCTGGTCTCGTTAGGCCTGTATAATTAGAATAGGTGTAGATTAAAAGGGATGGTAGGGGACCCTACCGTTTTCACCCTAACATAACGCATATAAGTTGTATCGAGTTTTCCAGAAAAACCGGTTTTCGGAAAGTTGGACCCTTTTCGTCGAATACAAGGGCACTTCGAATTGTCTACCGCGTGGGCGTGGGGAACGCAGCCCTAAGGTAGACAAATCAATGAGACTATGAGCTCGCACAAGAGAGAGAGAGAGAGAGAGAGAGAGAGAAAGAGAGTTTTGTTCCATTTATTGTTATGAGTGTGACAGAGAGATAGAGAGTGAGAGAGAGAAAGAAAAAAGATAGAGAGAGAGGGAGGGGGGGGGCTACCAGAGAGAGAGAGAGCCTGAGAGAGAGAGAGAGAAAGAGAGAGAGAGAGAGAGAGAGAGAGACAAAAAAGTATTGTTTCATTTGTTGATACGAGTGAGAGAGAGAGAGAGAGAAAGAAAGAGAGATAGAGAGAGAGGGAGG